CATTATATATGTATGTAATCCAATGTAATATCGCATTTTTGATCCGGTCCGACTGGAGGAAGAGGATAAATATATTTCGTTCGTTTATAATTATTGTAAAACCTCTGTAGATGATATTTATTACGTCGAACCAATGAGAGAGAGAGAGAGAGCGAATAACTATCGTTCTGAAAACTGATGAAAAGCGAGGAGATTTATCGCAGTTACAAAAAATCCGCAATCTCGTTCAGTCCGAACGGCGGCGAGCGATTCCAATTAAATTTTTGGTGCGCGACGGTGAAATTTCACGACGTCCGAGACTCGAACGGTCTCCATCGTTCTAATTACTTGGCGCACTCGCGGGTACCGCGCCGCCGATCTTTCCTATTAATCCCTCCCGGCGCGGATCGTACCGCGTAATTCATTTCGCAGGAGCGGACACGCGTGCTTCGCTATTTATGCGTCCCGTCCTGTACCCGGCGCAAAATCCATTTGCGTTATTTATTCAAACGCGGCCTACTTTTCCGCGCCGCGCGACGATTAATATTTGACGCGGCGACGCTTCCTAATTTCCTTTTTTCCTCCCGGTATCATCTCCGACGTGAGCAAGGATTTACGATGCGCGTGAAAATTGGATGAGCCCAGAATTGAAACATTCTCATTTGAACGTTCCTGTAACGAAATCTACACCGTCTCGTCGAGCCAACAGAAATTTTATACAATTCTCAATTGTTAATTAACACTAGAAAGACTGAAACTTAGTATATACCTATATTGCCCAAAAGCAGTCAAAATTACTTCCTTGGGCAATCTAGTGTTAATTAACATAAAAAATTCAAACTTTTCCTACTGTTTTTAACTTGGATACTCCATGCCCAAAGACTACCTACATAAAGTGATAAAAATCGAGACTCACCTTTCTTTCTTTTTTTCTTTCCTACTGTTCTCCTTAATCTTTTCTCCACGTGGGTGTATGAATTTTTACCCGAGGCTTTTCAAGCGAATCACGCTGTGTACTATTCAGCATAGAAGCATCGGTAAAGTGATGACAACTGTGTTCAGGGATAGTTAAAGCCGAGTGGCAGCGTAGCGACGACACGATTTACCAGCTAATTTAAGTCGACTTAACGATCCGGCCTTAAACCATCTCGCTAAACGCTCTAACCATTACCTGTCATTATATCATCCAGGCGTTTCAAGTCGCTTAACGCGAACTGGTCCACCGTATCTGGCAGTGTTTACCCAGAAGCAATTTCTCACTCCTCGGCGAGCCACCGACGATGCGTCGTCTCACATTTTTCAACTGTTGGATCGGATTTTGCTGTCTGAGCGTGGCGAGTTCGATGGGAGGAACGAACACGAGCGTCGGACGGACGAAAAGGGACTTGCTCGACGGGAAGTACCTGATTTTCCCGGAAGGAAGCAACGTACAAGTGAGTGATACGCGTTCCCACTTTACACTTACTTGTGCTTGTTCGACATTTTTTTAATGTTCAACCTAGTACGGATTAGGTGATTCTAAATTATTTTATATGGAATTAAAGGAAAAAGAAATTATTTAAGGGGCTAGACTAGTCACGTGACTTTTCTAAAATTTTGACGATTTTTGATCTGTTTTATTGATAACCAGAAAAAAATAGTGAATAGTATGGGT